AGGCTCCAGCTTTCACTGAAATTAGTCCATACCAAGGGAAGTGAACACAACTACATAATATAAAAGAATACAGAAATACATTTGAGGTACAATAGATTCTTAGAAAGAACCAGAAAAATGAACCAACCTTCATTCTTTTTGCACTCAACTGTAAGTCTACCTCAACGTTTAATATTCAATGCCCAACTGGCCAATGTGTTCTCCATAAATTATCTATTGCATATTCTTGGGGATTCTTATTCATTAATTGAACTCATTTCCTCAATTTTAGAACAGGACTCTGCCTCTCCCTTGGAATTGGTGCATCGGGAAGGCAATAATAAAAATATTCCAAATAGGGTAAATTTCTTTCTCATTCCGTTTCATATATTTCGCCAGTCACCTGTATAGGCTACTTTGATCTATCATATACAGTGATTTGCCCTTCATTATGATGGATCAGAGTGGGCTATAGCCCAGGTGGGCAGCCCACCATCACTGTGGCCTATAGTGGCTGTAGAGGCTTGCTGCTTGTGATGATGAGCTTAGGGTGTTGGTCACTGTTGGTGACGACGTTGGGGGTGGTTTTCAGGGTCCAGGGCGCATTTCCAAATAAGGAAATGTGCGCTTTTTCACATGTAAAATAGCAATAAAATCAGGAAAAATTAGGGGTGGTGCTCACTGTTGGGGGATGATGTTGGAGGTTGTTTTCAGGGTCCAGGGTGCATTTCCAAATATGGTAATATAGCTAAAAATAGCCACAAAATAACCAAAAAAATCAGAAAAAAATGGGGGTGGTGCTTGCTGTTGATGATGACATCTGGGATTGTTTTCAGGGTCCAGGGCATATGTCCAAATATGGTAATATAGCCAAAAATAGCCAGAAAATAGCCAAAAAATCTGAAAAAAAGGCGGATGGTGCTCATTGCTGGTGATCATGTTGGGTAATGTTGTCAGGGTCCAGGGTCAGTTCCAAATATGGTAAAATAGCCAGAAAATAGCCAAAAAATCCGAAACAAAGGGGGGATGGCGCTCATTGCTGATTATGTGGGGTAATGTTGTCAGCAAAAGTTGGGTTTGAGAAATTCAAAATTCCCAAAGTCGTCCTGATGCGTGACAATCTGTGATGAACATACAAAACCAAACATAATTTTCGCGATTTTGGTGTGCAAACGTCAATGCAAAGCACTATAGAGTGAAGCATGCAGAGCTCTATAGATTGTTTGCAGCTGTCATGCAATCTACGCAAGTCACAAATTAGCATATGCATCAATGGCTTCTTTGAATACTTAGCCAGAGGTTCAACTTCTGGAAGGGGACAATACTCTTATGTTGGCTTATGAATGACTTCTCCCTCAGGTGGGGGGCCCTTGGTGGTGTCTGCTGTGAACTGGTTGTTGCAGTTGTTATACAATCTACCCAAGTGACCCACAGAACTCATCAAAGTTTTGTATAAAATATCTTAATGGGAAGAGAGGTGAAGGTGGGTCAGTGCCCAATAAGGAGGTTGGAGTGAACCTCAATAATGAGGACAATCATACATCAGGTTAGAAAAGATTTTATATATATTCTGACAGGATAAATACATTATCTTGCTTGATCTTGAGAAAAAGCAGCTTGTATGAATATATCTTCTTGAACCGAAAGATATATATTGACTTTGGGAAGATATATTTGTTGGATAGTATATATTTTGGGAGTATAAATCAAATTATCAGAATGAATACTCCTGCAAGATATATATTTGTCAACTATATTTTGAACCAAGATATATTTTCCAACCATATCCCAAACCAAGATACATTATATGTCAACTATATCCTGAATATTTTAATCAAATCCTGAACCAAGATATATTTATCAACTATATCCTGAATCAAGATACATTATTTTTCAACTATATTCTGTTTTTTTCAACAACATTCTGAACTAAGATATATTCTTGAACTATATCCTGAACCAGGATATATTTCCAGGATATATCACCAGAATATCTTTTATACTCAAGTATCCTGAAACAAGACCTTGGAAGTTAAATCTATAACTTATACATTTATCCAGAAGAGAAACTGCATTTAATTCAACACAACTACATTACACTTGAGACAGGGCCCAGTCTGTGCTTGGGACAAAGGTACCTCCATAATCGTAAACACATGTACAATAAGAAAACAATTAGGCATGCGTAAAATATTGATCAATTTAATTCAATAGTGCTGAACAATAAGAACGTCAAGCACATCTCCAACGCTTATTTGAACAATTGCTGTGAAGATTAACCTGAAAATGTTTAGTAACTATGGGAGAGGTTCTCATTGTTCAACTTTTGCAATCAATGTCGAAGACTATAAGAGTTACTCCCTTTCGATTCCACATTCACAATAAGTTGAAACCTTTGAACCTGCAGCACATTTTGAACTTCACCAAATGTCATTTCTAAAGTATGGATGGCACCCACAATGTTATGCGTATCTAAAATAGTGTCGTAATTATGTACAATGAGCATAACCGCCAAGCATAATGAAAAAATGTTCCAAGGTCATAGTGAATGCCCGCTCATAGTCCCGCTCATAGCCCCACTCAGCCCTGCTCAAAAGACATTATGCCCGTGTTACTACAAGGTCCTTCATTGGGATTTCGGCGTCGATCTGTCTCCTATATGACTTCGCTTTCAGATCAGAGCACCCGCAGATGTCTTGACTAAAATGCTGAACCTTGAATTGACGCCCTTTATGCAGGCCATCAAAGGCGGCGACCATTTGACATGCTATTTCCGGTCTCTCTGGCACTAAATACTTGAACGGGACTTCCAACGATTGAAAACCGACTTGGATTTTGACCGCGTCCCCAACGACCTCCCAAAATTCGCCACACTTGCCTTCGTGTTTTCCACCGTAGAAATCAGGGTCCGTGTTGATCAACCGAAGGCTCAGTCTCATCCCATTGAAGCAACTGTCCCTGAGCCAGTAAGGGGAAGGGGCTGTATCACGTTAGTAAGCACTATTTAGTTGTATGGATGTTCTCACCATCATCACCAGGGCGTGGGGTACGCGAGCTGGGATTCCAAGCGGGACTTGCAGGTATATCTCTGGGGTTGGGAAGCAGGGTTGCCGGTACTTCGGGTGGTGCCGCGTGGAGCATATGAGGATATGGTATTGGCTTCAATGCTGGGTTGGCTGTATTGGGTGGGGGGAGATAGTCAGAAGAGGGGCCGGCCATCGGCGCCAGGGGAAGGGAAGTCGCTGGAAGGAGCCCTGCATCCACACTAGGAATGTGTTAGTGAAGGTTTTTTATGACATATATGAAGGCGTACTTGAGATGAAGGGAAGAGATCTTGAAAGGTTCTGGGCGCTGGAGTTGCGCTTCGAGTTCAACGAGGACCCTTCCATCGCCGATCGTACTTTTAATATGGCCTCGATAGTTTTTGAAGCTGCCTTGAGTAACGGTCACATGCTTTCCGACGAGATGACTGTTTGGGACGCCTTTCATTGCCTTCTTTTGTGCTGCCGTCAAAGGAAGGCTAGAACCGGGGGCCGTGGCATGATGATGAAACACTGGGGTAAGACTGGTAGCTACCACTTACATCATGTACTCCTGAGCTGTACCATAGAAGTTCCTGCTTAGCTACCGTGAATGAAATGAAATGAATTTTCATTCATTCACGGCACCTGTTTCATTCTAGATAATTTATTCTGTTTCATTCATTCCTGGCGACTGTTTCATTTTTTTATTTCATTCCACCATGGCAACTGTTTCATTCCTTGCTTCATTCTTCTCAGGTGCCTATTTCATTGTTAGAGCTGGGAAAATGATTATGTAATTGATACAGAATATTTAAGTGCCTTATTTGGCAACAGCATGCCTATCTTGTTGTGTATTTGAGCCTCAAATGCAAAAATACCCCCATATGGCCTCCCACAACACTGCAGTAGGGCACAACACATATCAGGCATAATTGTATATTATTTCCTTATTTAGATGTGTATTAAAACATCGAAATTGTTGCCTGAAAGAATGAAACAAAAATGAAATAACTGCCTGGAAAGAATGAAATGAAAATTCCATGGCAATGAATGAAAAAAGAAAATGAAACAGTCGCCAGGAATGAATGAAACAGAAGAATAAAGCAAAAAATGAAACAGTTGCCATGGTGGAATGAAATTAAAAAAATGAAACAGTCGCCAGGAATGAATGAAACAGAATAAATTTCATTCTTGTCAGTAGAAATGAAGAAAAAATTGAAATGAAATGAAATGAAACAAAAAGTATTTCATTCTCCATGGCAATAGATTAGAATGACTTGGAATGAAACAGTTGCCATGAATGAATGAAAATTCATTTCATTTCATTCACGGTAGCTAAGCAGGAACTTCTATGGTACATGCCAGGTTTTACATGATGTAAATGGCAGCTACTAGTGGGGGTAAAAAACTCGACGACACCAGGAGAAACTCCTACCTAGACACCAAGATCAGTGATAGATGTAATTCAAAAAGTCGTACTTACTTCGTTTCCTGTCTTGTCATCGAAAATGGACAGATCATCGTCGTCTTTGTTCACGACCCACCCAATGAACCCCTGGTGATCCCCGGCTGTTACGTGTACTGCATCTCCGACTTTGATGTTTTTCCTAAGCGATGAGAGGGGTAAGGTCGACGTGAGTCCGTTCTCCGGAAGGAAAACGTCTGCTTCATTCCCCTTGATCTCAATAATCCGTCCATATAGCCCCTTCTCGTCACCTTCAATAATTTTAACAGCATCCTCCAGGCAGAAGACGTGGGCGGCCATCTTCGCCATCGTCACCGTCCTTGCCTCAAGTGGAATCTTGGAACAAGCGCTGAATCTCGCAAATTCTTCAGGCGTCGGTATAACGTCTTCTGGGGCATACCAGTCGGTATCCAATTGTTGTAGAAGTGCATATCCGTCTTCATCATACAGAATTCCCTTGAATAAGGAGTAGCAGTTTCGCTTCTGAAACGCCCTTCGAAATCGATGCTTTGCTATTGTTGGATTGAATAACGTTTGAGGGGGGCGCCCCGGCACTGACGCCCTTTTCAATAATTCGGGGTTGGGATTGTATTTGCCTGCAAAATGTTCATCGTATTCGTCGTCTATGGGATCTTCGTCATCACCGCGCTTTTGGGGCTTTTCATATATGATTCGAGGGACTACGCGGACGTCAAGGATAAAGGATGGACTGGCACATGAAATAAAAGCGAGATCTCCTTTGTAAACCCCACGGCGGAGTCTCACCCAGCCATGCTCTTTTGGTTCGAAAGAAAAGGAATTAGGAACGCGCAACAGCGTGCGGGGATCGGGAACCATAACCGCGGAGATTTTGGATGGAAAGACGTTTGGCAGACCTTGACAAAGCCTGGTGACATTGTCTCGCGAAGAAGCCTCAAAAAAAACTCTGCCCGGTTGTGCAGGCTGCCCGAAGACAGCTCATACTTTGAAGTTGGCTGGAAATCTTGCGTCAGTAAGGCGACGAAAGACCCGAAAGACGGTATGTTCCTCATAGCCAGGCTAAATGAGTCAGCGCTAGACAAATCCAAAAGAAGTAGTTTTACCTTGACGATTACGCTCCATAGAGGGTTTTCCCCTTCGTTTCCCTCATCATCAACAGCTAAATCGGATTTCAAGTCATCGTCTGAGTCAATTCTCAAATCTCCCGGATTGGGTTCTCGTTGACGACCGCCGGAATTCACATGTTGTAGAAAGCCTTCCCAGAAATCGTCGTCATTGATTGGGATCAAGGCTTCGCGGAGAAGATGCCTATGCGTTGAATCTGAATCTCCAACTGTCGGCTCTTCATCGTCTATCAGGTCATCTTTTGAAGTTGACATTAGCGCAGTGCCAGACGTTGATCCTTTTTGACATACCCAGGTCATCCTCCTTGTCTCCTTCGCCTTCGCTTTCGCCGTCCGAAACTTGAGCCTCAAAATCTATGAACTTGCTAATATCGTCACCCTAGAGGTTGCTTGCTTTTCATATCTATAGCATGCTCAAAGTTCGGAAATCCTACCTGAAGCTTTCTGCGTTTCGTTGGCCTTTCTGTGAGCGATTCTCGGGTCGTAATCTCCTGCTGTTCATATTTATTAGACAAGTACTAGTTACTTTCAACTAAATGTGAATCTTTACATCTGACATTTGGGATACTGGGTAGTCGTACTTGTGTGAAGTTCGGAAAGCGTGCACCGCCGCTTCCAGATTGCTTTTCACATGTTGACTTTAGGGCCGTTGTGCAAGTTCACGTGACGATTTCAAATACGATCAAACTACTACCTACAACAAACTAATGATGGAAACGAGGTGTAAGTTTGAGGCAATTCTGTATAAGGTCAGAGATTCTGTCAAATGGGAGGTTGAGAAGAATAGCTTGAACACCGCAACAGACTAAGATAATGCAAACTATCTGCCAGAAGGATAATCCTGTTGAATAGACGGGTGGGGGTGAAGTCTTTTGGGTATCTTCCGTGATTTCCTAACAGAGGGTTAGCGGGGTCGTGTTAACAAAATCCGTATGGGATACCTTGATCGGTGCCCATGTCAGATGTTCCTGTTACAAGGATAGATTTTCCGTTGTCCGATATTGCCTAATGAAATTCAGCTAAGACAGTTGGGTGAAGTGAACGGGATCTCGTACATCGACAATTTGGACCAAACCTGCCACATAATAAGCTGAAGAACAAGAACCGGGCGGGAGAGAAAAAAAATGTACCTTTCCCGTGAGGCAACGACATTGACAGCTGACCTGTGTGGTGGTCATAGATCCGCGGACAGCCATCATCGCTCCCCACTACAATCAAAGAGGAATCCATGACGGCGGAAACGAGCAATGGAACGTTGGAGTTAATGGGATGCCGAAACGAGCAAAGCGGCTCCTGAGGGGGGATTACATATGTATCCACACCATCAACAAGGTTTGAGACAATCAATGTCCCACCGTCGCCAGAGATGGTAGCATGTCTGCTAACACTTCTAGTTAGTAGACTGGAAAAGGAACATAAGTTGGGCGTACATCCTCGTGGGCAGACTGTGGCACCACTCTTTCACCCAGTTTTCGATCTTCATGCACAGCCTGGCAAGTCTCATAAGTACACAGATTGAATGATGTCGAACGCTTGCGTACACTTGGTGTGACTCCAAATAACAAATCAGAAGGTTTGAGCCTCTTTCATGGAAGGAGACGTTTCGAATGATATATGGGTCAGAATCGAGGGTATGAATTAGTTTGAAATGTCCTTTGCAGCAGAATTAGCATAATGAGATAAAAGAGGGGGGAAATTCTCACCTTCCATGTCCAACTGCCATACTTTGGCGCAGCCGCTTCCAGCAGATGCAATGCGGCGGTGATGGGTATCGAAGGCAAGGGTTTCGACATGACCGTCATGGTGGTAGGCAAACATCGTTCCGTTGGCACAACCGAATGCGAAAGTACTGCTGGGGCGGTTTGGCGAGATTGGGGTCCAGACAGCGGCAGAGACAGGTCCATTGAAAGTGACGGAGATGGTTTGTTCGAGACTCCTGTGGAGGATATTCCAGACGAGTAACAACCCGTCATCCGCTATCCCAGGGTCAGCGATGTAGGGATGGGGATTGACGAGGACACATACCACCGCTGAGGAGCATCGTAGCATCCTTGTTTAATTTCAAAGTGTTCAACGGCTTAGTATGTTTGACCAGTGTGTGCCGACACTCAAACTGGACAGTATATAGCGTTAGCAGATGAAATCAAACGAAGCCGAGAACTTACAGCGGGAATATAGCTGTTGTTCATGATTCAATGGCCGAGAGGGTATCGGGCTGGAGATTAAATGAGAAAGACACAATAGCAAAAAAAAAATGATCAGGCAGCGCATACACTGGGGTGGGTCACTATGCCAAAAGTTACCTCCGTGTCATCCAGCCCGCTCGTACCGCACCGACATACGTCTCTTTTGTTTTTGTTTTTTGTCTTATTGTACTCGTCGTGATCAATCTATAGTAAGGTACAAAATGTTCTATTCTACATCTACATTACATTTCTATGCTACACGAAAAAGGGAAGTTCAGATGAGGCAAGGAGGAGACAATGATGAAGGTGGGAGAAGGGAAAAGAAGAAGATTTGGGAGCGGCATTGCAGTGCGACTTTAGGGCGTGCCAATTTGAGTCGGTGATTTCCGCATACTAAAGCATGTGCGGTTTTGAAGCGACAGCCCTAAAGCTCTGAAGCGACAGCCCTGAAGTGGTCAGTACATATACCAACGACAAGTCAGAAAGCGTCTTCCCTCTTTCCACTCACTTACCTTACCTTCATGCGATAACTAATAATAGTTCTCCTTTGCGATACCTTGCCCCTTCCACTCTTTCTTGCCCTTTCCACTCTTTCATTTGTACTTACTACGCATAGATACATGTAGATAATCTTGCAAAATCAAATGTAGAATAGTCAGGTACCAGTCAAGAATGATCGAAGAAAACAAAAGCACTAAGTGTGAATGGAGATGGAACTTGTCTCCATTTCGAAGTGGAGTATGTAAGTACAACGAACTGTGATCATCCGACCGTGGCTGATTGCGCATATCAGCAGGGTGGAGCTTCGAGCTATTGTGAGTCGCATCGATGCGACTTGTATTGTTGCCATGGTGCTCAGGGCAACTGTATCTCAGAGTGAGTCTTCAATCGCTCCTGCGGTAACCTTTCTAATTTATTGTCTTTGTAGATTCCAAACAACTGAGTTAAATACCGATGTTACTATACACGAATAACATCCTCAGTTCCCAATTTTCAAATCTCATTTTTAATATGCGTCTTCCTTCGTCCGGACAAGTAACGCTGCCGGCAGCGTTTGTCGAGAAGGTGCGACTTGCTCCTCATCTTAGATGATGCGCCATTGACTTAGGTGGTGTCTCAGATACTATCGTCGTATCGCAGTAATGGTTCTTTGAAAAGATCTCAACCAGATGTAAGTACATCTCATCGCTGTATTCATCTTCCCAGCCCATGTTCACACAGAGGTCTGGCGATGCGTCAGTGATTGGGACTGAAGAACCATCCTTGCAAACACACGCCAAGAGACAGAAGCAGGTCTGTTTGTTCCCTTCCTGCGGCGGTTCTTGCTCAAGTTTCCTTTCCTGTTCTTCTAGGCACCCCCTTTGCATGAAGAGCTTGACACAATTCCCTCTTCCGATCCTGCTAGTCCCGCCCTTCTTCTTGATCTCCCAAATGAGTGGTAGCTACCACTTTTATGATAAAATACAGGCAAGTGCCTGCACACCGACATCCACACTGCCTAATGAATTTATGAAATGAGAAGAGTAGGCAAAACTTATGAAATGTATTTCATTTCTTTACCAGTGCTTCTCATGACTATTTCATAACTGTCCTGAGACATATTTCAATACTACTTCATTGCAATTTCATTACTGCCTGGCCTTCCATTTCATTGTCTACCCAGCATTGTTTCATTGCTATTTCATTCTTGCCTGACTTTTAATTTCATTGCCTACCCAGCCTTATTTCATTGCCTTTTCATATCCTTGCCTGGGCTACTTCATATTCATTTCATATCCCTGCCTGGACAATTTCATATCCCTGCCTGGGCAGTCTCATATCCCTGCCTGGGCAATTTCATATCCTTGCCTGAGCAATCTCATATCCCTGCCTGGGCTACTTCATATTCATTTCATTTCTTGCCTTAGGCAATTTCATATCCCTGCCTGGGTGATTTCATATCCCTGCCTGGGTAATTTCATATCCTTGCCTGGGCAATCTCATATCCCTGCCTGGGCTACTTCATATTCATTTCATTTCTTGCCTTACAGTGCCTTGCATAATGCTTTGCAGTGTGAATTTTTTTAAATGGTATTTGGCTGTGTTAAACTGGACCTAATATGTCACACTCAGGCCTGGGATTACAGCTGATTGCGAAACGTTAGAGCAGCTCGGTTACCGTTCCAGCTCAACTGTGTGTTTGTTTGCGGCGGACACCAAAGCCAAATAAATCGGATCGATGGGGCTTTTCAGACCATTTGACGCGACGTGGTAGCAAGCATTTTATTGACAGGTTATGCAATTTGTCTTCGGTGACCATTCTGCGCCATTATTATTTGAGGAGAGGGGGAGGTGAGGGTGACTGGGAAAAGCTTAGTGTTGCTGCAAAGTAAAGTGCTTTAAGCACTAAAGTGCCTTTAAAGCACTTTATGTCCATATTCGGTGCTTTAAGGTACTTTAAGGTAAGGCTGTGCATTTGGGCAACGCCGGCTGCGTGAAATCTGGCCGGATATCAGTATGCAAGATGTGCACGCGTGAGCGCGATCCATGAGTTCAAAAGTGAATAATTGTGTCGAAGCTTCAGGACAGCATCGCCAATGGTCCCGTCAAAAAATTGAGGAAGGAAAGAAAAACGAGGTGTTTGGTGAAAGGGGTTTATGCGTGGTCACGGTGCTCCTCCATGATATGGACATTGGGTCAATATCAGGTGGTCTTCCGCATATCTGTGCCGGTGGTTGACCGTGTTCTTGAGCTTTGGCCAGCTGGTATCCACGTTGCGTTTTCAAATCTGTTTCTGTCTTTGTGTCAAAAAACGCGACCTCCAACACGGAACTTCTTTCAAATAAGTTCAATAGAGGTCACATAGAGGTCCTTGCGTACCCTTTCAATTTTTTCCAAGCATCATGTTAGCACCACTCATAATATACTGTGTTCTCTACATTACTTGCTTGTATCTAATTAGCTAGGGAAGCGGCGAGCCTCCGTTCTGACAAGAAGGCTGTGCGCAGTCAACCGAAAATGGAAACCGCTTTAAAGCAACTTTAGTCTTAAAGTCCTTTAAAGTCGGAAATAGCCGACTTTAAAGGACTTTGAACTTTGCTTTGCGGCAACACTACCGGCCATCAACAAACAAACAGATGGTTGTGCTGGAACGGGAAGCGAGCTGCTCTAACGTTTCGCAATCAGCTGTATTTCGTTGGACCTTGGTTTGTGACCACTACAAATATAATCAAATACGATTTGAAAAAATTCGTGCTGCAAAGCATTATGCAAGACACTGTAGGCAATTTCATATCCCTTCCTGCATAATTTCATATCCCTGCCTGGGCAATTTCATATCTATTTCATTCCCTACCTTGGGCAATTTCATATCCTTGCCTTTGCAATCTCATATCCCTGCCTGGGCTATTTCATACCTACCCTACTGCATTTATCATTGCCCCCTCAGAATGTCAGGCACTGCCTTCAGGGTCCATTTCAGGGTCCATCCCAAAGAGGAAACATCACCTGGTTTGACCAAAAGTGAAGAAAACCAAGAGGAGAATGTTTTTACCTATCAGGGTCCATATAATGGGATGTTGGGATGATGGTCACATGACCAATTACCAAAAATGGTCAAAATGAAAGTTGTAGCCCTACACTATAGCTTCCCGAATCTGTTTGAATTATGTTCTGAAGTGCTCCCATTGTGAAGATATGAGGTAAAAGATTTTCAAAAGTGTTGCTTCTTTTTTGTGTTTTTTTTTTTTGCATTTTTCTCCATGAAAACAAAACCAAACAACATGATTTCAGTATATTTGGAAAGCTATAAAAAAGAAAAGGGCTACAATTATTGTATCGTGGGAAAAATGACCAAAAAAGGAAGATGCATGCCCTAGAAAAGAAATTGACACTGATAGACTATACTAGTCAGATATAGACTACCATAACTACCAAAAAGTCAGACATAGACTACAAAGTTTACTGATAGACTACAAAGTTTACTGATACACTACAAATAACTACAAATGTCAGACATAGACTACAATGTTTACTGATACACAAAAGACTACAAAAGTCAGACTTAGACTACAAAAGACCACAAAAGTCGGACTTAGATTACACAGTTTACTGATAGACTACAAATTTTACTGATAGACTACAAAAGACCACAAAAGTCGGACTTAGACTACACAGTTTACTGATAGACTACAAAGTATACTGATAAACTACAAAAGACTACAAAAGTCGGACTTAGACTACAAGGTTTACTGATAGACTACAAAAGACCACAAAAGGCAAAAACTTGTACTTAGACTACAAAGTTAGTAGTGTCTGCTTTTTGAGACTACAAAAGTTTGTAGTGTGCGCTTTTTCATTAGAAAAGTTTGTAGTGCACTTCGGTCACCCATTTTAGGGTACCCCTGAGGTATATGAATTCTTTGATTTAAGGGTACCTCAAGGGTACCCATTCCAGGGTGGTATGTGAGCACCATACCAATACCATGGTACCATGGAATGGAAAACCCATACCATATCCCACTCATACCAATACCAAGTTACCATACCATACCATGTCATGTTATACCATACCAGATGGTATGATATCACTTCATACCATCATACCAAAGCTGTCACAGGGTGTCTGGGGTCCTTTTCCAAAATATATAAATTATTTCTGCAGGCTGCAATACTGGTCCATTGGGTGCCATTTTTTGTGGGGGGGTTCTCCAGGTTTATCCTGAGATTTTAGGCTACAAATGGAGGCCAAGTAGTCCAATCCATTCATTGAATATCAGTTCAAATGACCTTTATCCCAGCTTTTCCCATGCCACCAAAGCCATTTAATGATACCTATCTTTCCCAGTCCTTTCAATTGAAAAAATATTCAGCCCAAATAAAACAATATTACATCCATTGTGATGATGTGGTCTTTTACAAGCAAAGAACACAAGACATTTTGTGTACTATCAGTCCTGAACAATGCCTGATACCCCCCATGGGAAAAGCATGGACTTGAGCTAAATTATCATCCAACAGCCTGGACTGAAATATGCACTTCAACTAATCAACTACTTTAACTACCACTCCACATATAATTCATTTTAAAAGCATGCAATTTGGATTCAAAAAGTGCCATGCTGTTGCTGTCAAAGAAGTATGTGTAGACAAGTCAGAATTCACTCTGAATTGTGAAACATAAACTAAACTATTGCATGTATATCAACCACTCCAGACTTCATGCATTGAAGACTTACATACTAGAACTATGTGTTGATAGCTACTTTAACAAAGTTATCCAACAGTCATATCCTATAGGAAAGAGATCACCTCACATTTCATTCCATTTGTCATACCCCCCCATCAAACAATCACCCCACATAGCATCCTATTGGTTACCATATAGTGTTGTCATGTTTTATATCCCTCTTTTTGGATTTGGTTTATACAAAGTGCAAGCTTCACTCAGATGTTACATTCTTGGGTTCACCAGGTAGATGAGAAAGCAGATCTAAATTTTGTTAACCAAAAGATTACAAAGGTTTACTGAGGTTTGATTGAGATATTTGATCAGCTAAGAAAAACCCTGGCTCAACTGAGTCATAACTTGGCCGTCTGCTAAATGTGAACAACTCAATGAAAAATCAATACTTTTGAATTTATATGATTATACCTACCTCCTATCTATCTGAAGATTGCAAGAATGTAAAATTGCACTCTATATAAGCAAAACCAAAAACAATGAACTTAAAACATGGCAACAGTAAGTATGGTATCTACAGCACACCAAGCCCAAGGTAAAGGGCCATCCCATAGTCATACCATACCATGGTATGGCCAAGTTATACCGTACCATGGTATTGCCAAGTTAGACCATACCATGGTATGGCCAAGTTATACGGTACCATGGTATGGCCAAGTTATACGGTACCATGGTATGGCCAAGTCATACCGTACCCATGGTATGGCCAAGTTATACCATACCACATTATACCATGGTATTGCCAAGTTATACCATACCATGGAACTACAAGACATCATACTAACTAAAAAGTGCCTCCAGTGACCAGCCAAGGAGAGTAATCAGTATTCTAAAACTCTATCTAGATCTACTAGACAGAGCAATCCTGAGGCCCCCACTGACCCCACTGCACCCCGGAAACATCCACTAAGAAGTCTGCAGATATATTATTGCCAGTAAGTAATAGAACATCCCAAGTAGAAGTCCAATGAACACACACACCTCACACCAGTCACTCAAAACTCCTCCTCCTCTGTTGAGGACCCTTCAGAATCCACGGCCCTCACTAGGGTGTCGTCGACGTAACACACCACCATCTGTGAATGGCTCTTCATCGCCATTCTCCGAATGCCCGCGTCCAACCCTGCGAGGGCCATACCCAGTGAACCCTTCGTTTCCTCGGCCATAGTAGCCATTAGAGTCATACGGACGAGCATGTCCTCGAAATTGGGAGCGGAGACCACAGCCTCTTTCACCAAAGTCAGATGTTGCATACTGTTGTGGATGGTGGCCATAATGTTGGTTATTTGAGAACTGGGGCGGTGGTCGGTGATAGTGATCCTGCATGGAAAAAGAGGGTTTGAACCTCGTAGTCTGATACTCGTCCATGAAAGCATCGTCTTCGTCATACATATTCACATCAGTGTCGAAGTTATTGTGATCGCAGCCTTCGGCATCATTCCATGCCCTCAGACGAGAGCCACCAGCACGGTCTGAACCAGCCTCATTATGAGTATTCCGCTGCTGGGACATCCCACGTGAACCATGCACTTGGTCCAGCCCGCGCTCATTGTCTGGGCCCTGGGACATGCTCTGGGGAAGCGGCCCATCTTGACTCTCCCAACCGCCATCTCTGGGTCCACCTTGGATCTCACGCACTGGCCGTGAACCCAAAACAATCCCTTGGCCTACCAACTCCTGGCGACGGACACGTTTGGCTGGAGGGGAACGAATGGGGGAGATTACAGGAGCGCGAGGGTCGTCCTGAGTTTCCCCATCCGAAGACGTAAGTTTTTCCGCCTCGACACCTGCTCCTGAAGGCTTCGGCTCCTCCCGCAATTTGCGCTTCTGCCGGCCAACTTGTGTGGAGGTCGTCGTTGTCTTCTTTTTTTTGATGACCTTCAAGGTATTATCTTCCATAATCTGGCTACGCACTCTGGCATGGAGTAGTGGAGGGCAGTCAGCGCCTCCATCGTTTTGACGAGCAGCGTTCTCCACCTCAGGCGCGCAGTTTTTGACACGGGCGAGGACCACGAGCTCCCCTGATTCAGATTCGCCCGTAACGATCGGTATGTCCAACCACTCCTCACTCCCCACCACCAAGTCCGTGTAATCTAAAGCCCAATCCTTTAGAACATGCCTTGTGAATATCACAAGTCAAACTTACCATCTGACCATAAGACAATTTGAGGGGCCAGGTTCTTCGTCTCGTCCTTGCTAATCATGTATGTGAAAATCAAATTGATTCCATTCGAACTGATGTCGGTAATCGACCATCCCTTTGCCCCAGGGATGGAGGTCTTTACCTTCCGCGCCCACCGACGAAAATGAGCGCCCACCAACGTCAATGACCTCACACCAACGACGACCAGCGCCCACGAAAACGACCGCCCACGGACGTCCAGCGACCGCAAACGATGTCCCCGCCCACGAAAACGATGTCCACCGCCCATGAATGACGCCCACCGCCAACAATGTCAATCGCCCATGAACAACGGCCACCACCAACGACGTCCAATGCCCACCGCCCACCAACGACGTCCCCCGCCCACGAAGACGACGTCCGCCACCCACGAAGATGACGTCCGCCACCCACCGCCCACGAAACAACGTCCGCCGCCCACCGAAAACATCCGCCACCCACCGAAAACGTCCACCGCCCACGAAACAACGTCCCCCGCCCACCGAAAATGTCCGCCGCCCATCCACGAACACAGTGACGAGCCCAGGTGAGCCCCCCCCTCCCTCCATCATTATTCCACATCACACCCTCCCCCATTGCTCCCCCTCTGATTGCTGCCCCACTCTCCACCTTTCCTTACCCCTCCATAACTCCCCACCTCCATCACTCTCCACCCCACCCCTCCCTCCTCATTCTCCACAACTCCCACTCCCCTCCATCACTTCCCCCTCCCTTGATCACTCTATATCTATACCTCTCCCTCCCCCTCCCTTTAATATGATATGTAGTAAAATAAAATTATGTAGTCTGTATAAGACCCTTAGTTTTCTTCATTTATTAGTGTTTAAGCTTTAACTTTGCAGATTAAGTCTGGACTTGTGATTCTATGATAATAATTGTGGAATTGGGACTTATTCCATCTGAATTCCATATGGAAAAAGTATGGAGTCCATCAGCTATTCCATGGATTCCATCTGAAAGAAGTATGGAGTCCATCAGCCATTCCATGGGAACCATCTCCAGAAAGTATGGAGTCCATCAGCCATTCCATGGAATCCATCTCCAGAAAGTATGGAGTCCATCAGCCATTCCATGGAATCCATCTCCAGAAAGTATGGAGTCCATCAGCCATTCCATGGAATCCATCTCCAGAAAGTATGGAGTCCATCAGCCATTCCATGGAATCCATCCCCAGAAAGTATGGAGTCCATCAGCCATTCCATGGAATCCATCTGGAATTCCTGGAATCCACCCCCCTTCCATGCATTCCATATGGATTAAGCCGGGGAGGGTAAAGTACAGTATGTAGACCAGCAAGGGTTGCTTTTGTTTATAACCCCATCTCGTTTTCTAGTTAACTCCCAGCCCCGCAACTATAAGAGCTTTCATAAAGAACAATACTGAAAGGTCATGATGTGGGCGCATCCACATATGGCAGACACCCAATGCTATGCCCACAACAATAAGAAGCAGATAATAGACAATATTACCCCCAAGATATTGCTTCTCTATTATCGAGAGTGAAAAGAGAGAATTGGCCATGGCTGGCCTGATTGCTTGCATAAGGCTAACAGTTGTCAGTTCAATTACAACACACACATGACGGAGCAAGCGAACACTAAGGAAGATCTCACCTGGCTAATGCTGTTTGTTGCACCAAGAGATGCTCAGTTAGGTGACGCCGCCCCTATATCAACAGTTCAAGCTTTTGGAGACAACAGAACAGGGTGGCTTGCTTACTGACATGCCCAGGCCTATCAAGACAATGATTTGGAATCCAACTAAAGCCCATGACATCCTGCTGTATCCCGATGTACGAGCCAAGTAATTGATCACCGGAAAGCATGCGAATGCCAGTGAAAACTTTCTTGGAACCCCATCAATCATGGCAAAGAAAAGCATTTGAAACATTCCATTCAGGATCCCAAATACAGACAAGATTTTGCCGATGGTGGATGGGGGCAAACCTAGACCACAGAGGTGTATGGGAGTGGCGAGAAAGAGCTTGAAAGTAATGTCCACAAGGGTGAGAGGTGTAATTTGCTACTGCTAAAATAACCCTTTGGGTCAGAAGAGCCCGAAATGGCAAGGGTTTCTCATTAGGGCTTTGCACAGTGGCAAGAGAGGTCTGTCAGATGAATCCCGAGAGCCAGTGATGCTCTGGGGTCCAGGCCATGACAAAGGTAATTAATTGTCAACCTTTTTAGAGATCGACACAGTCACAAGAGTGCGCTGCAAAGTCATGGCACCCACAGAGCCAATCCGCGCCCAACTTTCCTCAAAGCTATCATACCAGCAACACACCCCTTCCTTCTTTATCAAACTACAAAACCAAGTTGCAGGAATTCCAGATGAGGATGAGGAAGAAGACCAAGATCCTGAATATAAATATGTTTGGACGTGTTCCGTGGCATCAGCCAATGATGATGGACCTTGGGTAGATGATAAGTGGTGGAAGGAATGGTAGGATTGGATGGAGAGGCGAGAGTGAGTCCTTTTTCACCTGATTTCTTTGTTACCTAAACTTAAATTCTTCGAAGAGTGCAGATACAGATTATTCTCTATCTGTTGAAGCTATCACACTACCTGGTCCTGCTCCACCATCAACTTCTACCCACACTACCTGGTCCCGCTCCACCATCGACTTATACCCACTTATTCATGTTCGCACCAAGGGGATGATCTATGACGAAAAGGTCATATATCATGCCAACCACGCCATCCCCAGCACTACCAATGAGTGAATTGCACAAGGGAGGATGCAGACCATGGCCAGTCCCTCCAGTGCGGTCTGCAACATGCGTTTTGACAGTTGAATATCTGATGCACATGGTCAGGTGGGCACAATGGCTGGGCACCTACCCATTCCAAAATGTCCAGCTATTCATGAACGAACTGCAGAAGATCCAGGAAGTGTTGATGAAGTATGCGGATGAAAACCACAGGTTGTCGTTCTCAAAGATGGGAAGCACCTGACGGAACATGACATGGGGAATGTTAGACGAAGTGGTGAGTTTACGTTGATTGAGTTTTGACCACCCAACCCTCATAGCTGGAATTCAGAGAAAGGGGTGCATCCATTACCTGATCCACACACAATATGTCGTTGCCAGCTGCAGTCTCCTGGGTAATAGCAGGCCCATCCAATAATTCTGCACTGGCTGGCAAAAGCCTATCTGCAGGGTCTATCATTCTCATCATCATCCAGGACCAAGACATCAACTGGTAAGCAGCAAATTGTCGAACACCTTGAAGAAGTTAGGAGGCAACTGCAACGAGGATAAGAAAGGCCCTGTCAAGAAGAAAGCAAAAAAACCAAGCAAAACCAAAGCAAAACGCTTCTGTTGTTTGATGATGAAGATTGATAGTTAAACTTGTGTTCAATGTATGTTGCCTCTACACTGCCTTCCTGCACTTACTACTCATGAATGTAGAGTAGGGATATCAAGGCTGGAATGATCGTCCCTCCGTCGAATTGCGCCACAAACAACGCGAGAAAGATAACCCTGGTGACAACGCGAGAAAGATAACCCTGGTGACAACGTCCGCTTTGACACCAAGCGAGTATCTCAGATCTCAACATTCCCCTGTAATGTCTGACTTTATTTCAGGGACGTCTCCATAGGATATCATCGCGAAAATGGCACCTCATTCTCCAAGAATGACCCCACCAAGGAGACCGCTTCCTTCAATGCCCTGGTCATCCACAAACACACTAGTCAAATTTACGTCCCCCTGTTCTTGATTGGCACACAGCCGGCTATCTGGAATTCATACCTGTGAACATCTTTCAACCAGCTGAACCTATATCAACAAGTTCAGCTGTGAAGAGAATGAACCTGCAGCTAGCAGACAAGTTGAACAGTAACTTTAGAATGAATGTGTGGTTACGCGGATAATATATTTCTCACCTTGTGCTAACCAGATCAGTAACTTCAGCTGGATATCATATCTGCAAACATCGGCCAGCCAGCTGAACCTACACCTAAGACTTCAGCTGTGAAGGGGCCAGACCTTTAGCTAACAGAGGGGTGGAACAATGTCTTCAGAGCAGATGTGCAGCTATATGAAGATCATATTTGAGCACATGCTAAACAGCTGGAAGAAAATCTGGTGGATGGATTTACTACTGCCTAAAGATTATATTTCAGCATGTGCTAAACAGCTGAAAGAAAACCTGGTGGATGGATTTACTACCACCTGAAGATCATATTTAAACATGTGCTAAACAGCTGAAAGAAAACCTGGTGGATGGATTTACGACCGCCTGAATGGCCTATAGGCACGTCTGGCAATCAGCTGAGCTTTCATGAAATAAGTTGGCTGGGACAAAGCTGACTTCATGTCTCTCTCATGTGAATCCCCGTGTGTTACCTGTGAAACTTCAAAATGTGATTTCTATGTTACACACATTTGGTGGTGTACTGGATTCCTACTGGACTCCACTATGCCCATTCCTTAGGAATCCGCAATTCCTTGTGATTTGGGACCATTCCAGTAGGAATTTACTAGGACTCCACTAGGACCGGGACACAAAATTTGTATGGTGATCAGCCAACATGAAATTTGTCCCAGTCCTAGTCCAGTCCAGTAGGATTCCGGGAGTCCAGTAGGAATAGGTGGAGGAGTGTAAAGAGCTCAGTTAGACAGATGATAACAGTGATGCCAAAGCTGGTTGAAAAGATGGAGGTGGTGGTAGGGTGCAGCGTCAGTCACATAACAATGTTAGGGGGGGGGTACTAACATTGATGCTGTTCAAGGACATGAGGCAGCAGTGCAATGTCCGTGGTGGTCAAGGAGGCAAGCATAGTGGTGGTAAGTATAGGGAGAGTGACAGGTTGTTTCAGAATGTGAACACATCACAAGTTAGTTTAGGGCAGGCTTGTTGGACTTAGAAACAATGGAAATGTGATGAAGAGCATGTATGAGAGCATATCAGAGCAATATCAGAGTGCCCAATAGATATTTTGTATGTGTGGTGAGGCTGGTAACCATATCGGGCCAAGACTGATCAGTTTTGGTTGAGCGAGTTTGAGCAGAACTCATCATGGCTGAATTAATTTGATGGACTTGATTTCACACTATCTCACACAATCTGGCTCGAGGTGTTTTTCACTGGGAATCAGCCCTCAATGAGGATATATGTATACAAGAATACTGTATACATGGATATGAATACAAAGATACACATATACATGGATACATGTATACAAGAATATGTGTATATGTGAATACAAGGATATGTGTATGCATGGATACAAGGATACATGTATATGTTGATACATGAATACAAGGATACATGAATACATGAATACATGGATACCTGAATAGAAGGATACAAGAATATGCATATATGTGGATACATAAATACAAGAAAATATGAAAATAGATCTTGAATTGATTTACAATACTTGACATATGCCTCCATATATGCATCTGCTTCTACATCTGAAGTAGAAAATGAACAAATGATATTGATTGAGGTAATAAGATGATAGAAGCTGTCAAATAGTTGGTGCTCCTTGTTACCTTTGTTCCACCAAAGCCCAGGAAGTACATGAGGCAAAATGACTGTAAATAGGACAAGATATACATCAGCTTTGAGTTTACCATGCCTGGCTTCTCCAAGATTTGTAAAAGGTCTTGCTACCCAAGTTGGAAGTGCTACCTCTTGTATACACAGACAAATTGCCCTCAATTCTTCATCAGTTAAATTAAAAGCGTTGTCAGATTCAATATCCTTATAATCTGGATCTTCTTCATCATCTGAATCATTGTCAAGTTGCAAGTCAGAGTGCTTTTGAGGAGAAGTTGGAGTGTCTTCATTGGTAGTGAATTATTGCCAAGAGTGTTAACATCTTGTGTAGCTTTTCATTCTTTTCATTTGTGAATCAACTTCTTGTCCATGCCCATGCATCCCTCCCACCTGATGCACTTGAAGCCTTCAAAATGAATGGCAGAAAGCAGTGCAAACAATGTGATACTGTAATTTCCCAGTCCAATCCTGCAGCATAACACCATGGTAAGGTCCAGAAAATGTCACATGAAGATGATCAGCCAAAGAGAATGCAGTGAAAGTATCAAAAACATGGATTCAATGTCGCACATACTTATTGCTGCATGGCTCATCTGCTGAGTTGACAGGATGACCTCAAAAATCAGCCCTCAATGAGGATATATGTATACAAGAATACTGTATACATGGATATATAAATACAAGAATATGTGTACAAACACTGAATTTATCTAACACTCATTTAGTATTTCTACAGATACATGTGTACATGGATACATGAACACATGAATACAAGGATACTTGATACATGTATATGTGTAATGTGTATATGTGAATACAAGGATACGTGTATGCATGGATACAAGGATACAAGTATACATGAATGCAAGAATACAAGTGTATGTGTACTATGCCCTATCAGTACTTCGGCAGACCCTCTCAGTCGGCACTTTCCTGATCTCGAACTTTCCACAAATTTTCTTGCCACAAAATTTGAGACAGGGCCTCCTGGGTATAATCCAACCTATCTCCGCTTTTTTTCGTCTAAAAAAACAAAGAATTGGCAAAGTTCTGTTTTTTGGCCAGTCACGATCTGTCACATTCATCCGCCAAAAAATGTGACATTTGTGACAGCCGACTGAGAGGGTCTGCCAAAGTACTGATATAGCATAGTATATGTAGATACAAGAATACAAGGATATGTATATACATGGATACATGAATACAAGGATACATGTATATGCAGATACCTGAATACAAGGATACAAGAATATGTGTATATGTAAATACAGGAATACAGAACATGTGTATACATGGATACATCAATACAAGGATACACGTAGATGTGGATACCTGAATACAAGGATACGTGTATACATAGATACCTAAATAAAAGAATACAAGAATATCCATATATGCACATAGATATATGAATAGTATACATGGATACATAAATACAAGAATACAAGGATATCATACAGTTGAGTGCAAAAAGAATGAAGGTTGGTTCATTTTTCTGGTTCATTCTAAGAATCTATTGTACCTCAAATGTATTTGTGTATTCTTTTACATTATGTAGTTGTGTTACACTTCCCTTGGTATGGACTAATTTCAGTGAAAGCTGGAGCCTTGAGAAGGTTTTTATTCTGGAAGCCATTTTTGGCATCTGAAAAAAAAAATATGCGCTAACTGGAGAGGTAGCCAGAACATACCTCTGGTCAACCTGAATGAGCCTATCAAAGAATTAGTCAAAAATACTG